ATTATCATCATTTCTTGTTCTACTAATATCTAACTTATATACGAAGTTTGGTCAAAAAATTCCAACTCGTTCTTGGTGTTCGGTTTTCCATGTCGGTTAGTATATCATGAAAATCATGAATGAATATTCTTATATTATATTTATACATAACTTTGTATAAATGTCAATACGTCAGTATGAAATCAAGTGAATGTCTACAAAAGGTAGCACATTTTGTTTTTCTTACGCATACATAAGATATTTTAAGATTTAAAATTCTGATGTGATAGAAGCCTGTGAGATAAGTTCAAAACTTATACAGTGACCGACAAAAAAAACGGCCACCCTGAAAATACGCCTGGCGCTGCCTACGACCAATCTCGATCAGAGCGACAATTTGAGAGACGTCTGTAAGAGTTAACGGCATTGCTCTCGCGTGAAAACGTTTATTAACTGCCAAACTTATAATCAAAAGATGAAGAACACTGTTTGCAACAACTTCCTTTATTGTTTTTGTTATGTTCTATTACGTGGGAGCAGGATGGTACAGGCACGTACAGGTGTTGCGCTTACGATGGTTCAGCTTAGACTGTTTGTTTATTCGTACTTCTAACCTATTTACATTATGTACATTGGGTTGCCTAGCTTAACTACTGACATCTTTTTTTAAATAAACTAAACAAAAGTATGGTTTGTTTTCTTACTTATGCTACTTAGTTTCTACTACAAACTCTTCTATTGGCTCCTCCTCCTGTCGTATTGTGAAGGATTTATATCTTTCATACACTAGATTCTTCTTTGGAATACAATCATTATCAAATTTTTTCTTCAAAATTTCTATTTTATCCTTTTCCGATTCGGCAAACTCAAACGTGTTATAAATATCGATAGCTTCGGCCCCAAGGAAGTGTAGGAGTTGTGCACACTGGATTTTCTCCGATTTCTTGTCTGATTCCGATGCAATGGCGTATATCTCGTAGCGCTGCTTCCACGCCTTCCATTTGGCGGCTAAATTTCCATTTTCGCCTCCATAGTTTCTTTTATTTATGAATTACTTATTTGACTTTCACTTCCTTTGTTCACTTTTTCACTTTTTGCATACGACTGCGCCATGTTATGTGCCATTACGTGGGAGCGAGATGGTACATACATACATTTACTCACGGCCACCTTGATACATATACCTAATAAAATGTATGTAGTTAGTTAGTTATAATAGTTTATTAGGTATATATATGAAGATAGAGTTTCACTCTATCCGGCCGTGCGCGTAGTTGTTATTTTGACAGTTGGGGGCGCTGCCATACGGTGCATAGTTGGTTGCCTAATTTTAATAATTTCAAACTTATGGACTATTTACAGTAAAAAAATGATCTAAAAATATCTGACGTACTTGTAACTATACTGGCTCTACATTAAAACTAAAATAAATTGGTTGGATAGAAAACAGTAAAATAACATCTGTTTAGTTAATTTAATTTTAACAATTTTCGTTTTTTAGTCTGGACATTTGAATGTTTTATAAGGGTTTGAGCCTGCTTACTGCAAAAATTGCTAACAATGGGCGAAATAAGCTTCTCTAAAATTATAGTACACACAATTTTTGAATGAGGTTTGCACGAAAACATTGAATTACCGTAGAGATAAGAAAATATAACATTATTTAAAATAAAAGATACGTTGTGTGTTGGCAAACTTGGTAGAACTTCAACAATAATTTCAACTATAAACTGTATTAACGCGACAAATTGTTTGTTTGTATAGATTCATCTTCCACGATCTTGATTATACATATATTAGTTCCAATAGAGGACTTTTTATGTGGGGATTAAAGTCTCTTAATGTTGAAAAACATAAATCGCAGCTCACAGATTCACTGGCTTTTTTAATTAAATACCCACACAAAAAAGCTGTAGCTGCAGTTTCTACGCTGACAACTTCGTTATTTTCAGCACCATCAAAAAATCATAATTTTTCCAGTTTTATTAATGTAGAGTCATCCAGTGTAATAACGATGGTAGAATCCACTGAATTTTGGTCTGGGTGAGGAGTTACAAAACTAATGTAACTGCAGTCAGAAGCAATATTACTTGAATTGACGTTTTTAATTATACCGCTTTTCAAAATTTGGCGAAGTGCATGCTCGGCTGCTTTACAATCTGTAACATCGTTGGACCCACCTCTCAACCGAACATTAGCAAACGAGGACTCTATCGCATCGGAACTAAATTCTCTTGTCAAAACATAAAAAAAGTTTAGTTCACTTATTAAGTACTTGATGCAGAGATGTGTGCTCTTGCTTGTAAACAAAAATGCTTCGGCAGTTTCTTTTGTCAAACCCCGCATTCCCATCGCTTGCGACTTTTCTTGGATGCCTTTAATATATAATGGAAATTCTTGGTCTAGCCATAATAAACGATCATCAGACGTATTAGTGTATGGTGCAACATCATGGTCATGTTGTCGGACATGCTGACTTTTGTTACTTACGTCATGAAGTTTGAAAAATTTGAACATTGTTTCCAAATATCGCACTGTAGCCAAACACTCTTTAAAATAAGAAACTCCATCATAACCATGCGTGGCTAGATATCTCAAGGATGCAGTTACTGAAGTTGAGAATATTTGAACAGCTAGATGTACTTTCATTTTTTCCAAGTTACTTGGGGAAAGATGTTAGTTAGCTGAAATAATTCCGTCTTCAGAAGCCATATCGTGGTCTAAAAATATGTTTCTGGCATTTTTAATTAGGTGGCAGTAATCAAAACTGAAAAAAAGTTTTAAACCAACACTGAAAGGATGTGGAATGCAAGTTTGAAGGCAGCCATTTCCAAAATGTTTAAAGAGCGCTACATTATTTTTGTGATTGTCTCCAACAATTCGTACAACCATAAATTGGCATTCTGCAAGTAATTGCAACACTTCAAGTGCCAGTTTGTGCAACTCCTTGCTGCTTAATTTTTTATGGAAATAGTAGCTCGCCGGGATTACATACTTTGTTGAAATGCCATGAATTATAAAACAGAGTAATTGATTTGCTATAACTGGTTTTTTAGTAATAGTATTGACTTTAGGAAGCGTTTCCAATCCAAAAATTCGATCTTCTGCCTTTGAATATCTGATACTTTCTTTCACGGCCATGTCGTCCACAATTAAAGAACATACGCGTTCCGAAATGTTCAAATTTTTAACTTCGCTTGTCAATCGTTCCTTTATTAAATGTTTATTTTCAGAACCAAAATATTTTCGTAATGTTGTCTTACATGGGAGTTTCAGGAAGTCATTTCTTGGAAATTCGTAACCCCTTGGCGAATAAAATCTCCAGGCAATGCAATAACGAATTGTCGTTTCAGACCATTTTGGTTTCTCCTTGTTGTAATTTTGAATTTGATCCAAAATTAAAATTGCCTTGGGATTCAAATTTTTGGGGTTATTTTTTATTTGTTTTAATTATTCCCATTCTTTACACAATAATTTTTCTTGTTTTTCTCTTTCTACTGTTTCTTTGAGCTTATTATAACGCAGCTGCAGTTGTTTTAATTTTCTATTTTAGGCAGCGGTTTGTATATTCTAAACTTTCTATTTGCGCCTATGTACGTAAGGTTTGAGTGGCACAGTCAAAAACTTTGTTAAAAATGCAAGACTCTGGGAACTCAGTACTTTCCGTGAATTCTGTATTGCTGTTCAGCTAAAAGTATAACATAATAACATACATATATTGCAACGGTAAAATAAGATTTATTACAAATCTAGAAGGAATCGCGCTCGCTCGAAGAGTTTGAAGACACTACAAAATCTTTGGGCTTAAAATGTGAACTTCAAATCGTCGAATATTCCGACATATCTTCAACGTCTAGAAGCGAAAAGTTAGATATAGCAAATGAACCAATCTGAATATTTACCAGAAAAGGGTGCAAATGCTTCTTTCCATTGCAACGCCAAATTTGTATCAACAGGAATATAATGAAATGAAAAATCTTGCAAATCACGAGATTTACAATTTGAAACACAGCATTTTCTGTTCGAAGGCATTGTTTTAATTAATGAAAATCGACGCGTACTCAACACGTTAATGACGCTAATAACAACAAACGAGTTTAATGAAAGTTCTGATAAGAACTGATTTTTTCACAGAATATGTGAATAACAACAAACAACTAAACGTAAAACTTGGAAAAACAACTTCAAAGCTCAAAAAACTATCAAAATCAAAAAAAGATGCGTGTCATGCGCAATGGCGGTTTTGACATTTGAGAAAAAGACTGATGCGCCCTCTACGTTCTTCTGAGACTGTAAGACAAGGTTAGAGATATTTTTGCATAAGTAAGAAGATGGTTAGTATCAATAAAATGCGGATCAAGATTTAAAGGTTTTTGTAATTTTATTTGTTGTGTACTTATTGGTAATAAATAAATTTAATCATGTATTAATTTGTTTTTATTTAAAAACCACTTTAAGCAAGTCACATAAAAATTATAATTGGTATGCAACCAACTTTACACCTTCAATATTTGAATTTTCTTTCAATAGATGTCTCTACCGTAATCCCGCTAAATGTCATATCTCATTAACAAAAATTTCGCTCACGCGCACGGCCGGATAGAGTGAAACTCTATCTTCATATCAAGGAGGCCGTGCATTTACTAATTTAGCGGACGTAATTACGTCTTTTAAATAGCGTACGACAAGTCTAAAATACGCTGTTGCTAAGCAACCCAAAAGTTAGCGTATACGTCTTTTGAAAAAACGCTATGCAAAATATCTATTATGAAAAAATGGAAAGCAAGATAAACCAAGGATGACTAAAGGTGGACTTACACAGTCGCAGCATAGAGAATTCGGATTTCTTCAAAATTCAGCAAAAATACTAAAAAAAACTCTTCGACGACAACTCGAAACTTAAATGAAATTCATTTCCGGCAATATTGCTTATATAGGAATAGATTAATCTTGTCTCTCGCGATTTTAGTGGACCATATTTCTTCGTGATATATGTATTACTCGGAATGCGACTTTAGGTTTTATTTCGCTGTTTTATAGGGTTTAATTTCGTTTAATTGGTTGGTTCCCATGTCGTCATCGCTACATGTGGTTAGCCTGTTGCAGCTGTTTGTGAAGGCGACGTTTTCTGAGGTAGGGATGTTCGGTTCTACAAAATAAACCGGTTTTCAGTTAACCGGTTTATTTTTGAACAGGTTAATTGCCAACAGTTTAACCGAACCTGCAATAACCGGTTTGCAGGTTAACCGATTGTTCCCAATTCAATGTGAAAGTAAAAAAAAGGTGAATAGGTAATAATATTGATATATAAATCGTTGCAACTCAAAAATGTATTTCATGTTTAACAAAAAAACATTAGTCTGGATTATATAAACAAAAAATGAATTCCAAATTAGATGTTCCAGTAAATACTATCCAAAGAATTAAGAAATACTAACTCATTGATGTGCTGTGGTGTCAAACGACTTCTTTTATCAGAACAAACATTATTAAGTGTAGATACCAGGCGTTCTGCTGGAACTGAAGCTCCCAAGACAGTGAGGTATTTCATGGCAACTTTGTACGTTCCTGGAAATGCATTCTTATTTTCTTTCCAATACTGTATTGGATGTCGAGTTCTTGGTTGAATCGGTTGATTCAAATATAATTTTAACTCTGCGGGTAATCCATCACAACCATCTGAATCAGGTAAGTGCCTTGAGGCTATCTCATCATGGATATTCCAAATGCATCCATCTACATCATCTATAATATTTGGATGTACTGGTGGAGTGAGCGATCCTTGATTCTGATGTTCTTTTTTAACTTCGTTTTTTATTATTGTAATGGCATTGGCAACATTTCTTGCTGATGAAAAATGAAGACGCTTAAATCTGGGATCTACAATTGTGGCTATTGACAAAAGAATATTTGTTTCTAAAGGATCAAGTTTTTTTTCTATTTGTGCCTCAAGTTCTTTTTTTAAGTTTTTAGCAAAGGGATTACTGACGTTGATTCTATGTAAGGAGGTTTTAATACAGTTGGTCATGGGTATCACCAAGCTTCCTGAGACATATTTTTCGCCTGATATATTTTTAGTTGCATCCTCAAATGGCCCAAGTAACTTCAAACACTCATCAATAATTGCCAGCTCATTAGCAGTCAACATTGGTGGAGCTTTTTGGTGTTCAGACGACAGTAAAATTTTACCAACATGACCCGATAGGTATTTAAACCTTTGTAAGCAATAAAACGTGGAGTTCCATCTAGTGGGAACCTCTTGTATTAAATACAGATATGTTCCATCCTTTTTTCCTTCATTTTTCTGTTCATATCTTAACTGATCTTGTGCAACATTACTGTGCTTAAAATAAGCAACAATTGTCTTTACTTTTTCAATTATTGTGACAACATCTCGACAACTTCCTAATGCCTTCGTTACCACTAAGTTTATATTGTGCGCAAAACAACTGACATGGAAATGATTAGAAGTCTGTGACATAATTTTCTTTACAGCAGCAATAATATTTGCACCGTTATCAGTCGTAATTGAAACAATGTTTTCTTTTAAAATTTTCCAGTTATTCAACATAGTGTGCAAATCATTGCTTATATTGTCTGCTGTATGGTGCTGTGTCAGATTACTCACACCAAGTGCAATAGTAACCATTTCATTATTTTCTTCATCTATCAATTAAAATCTTTAAATGAAAAAAGAAACAAAATAATTCATCTTACTGATAAAATGGGCAGTTAAAACTATAAAACTTCTTGTCGCATTGATCACTGTTGCAATGTCTGTTGTTAAGGCAAGATGGTGAGCTTGTTGCAATTTTTTGCTAACAAATATTTGCAGGCTGTTGTACTTCTGTTCAACATATTTTGTAATCTAAAAATAATAGATTTTTGCCGATTTAAATTGTTAGAGCCAATGGACTTACTGTACTCCTACTTGGAACATGATATAACGGCACTGCTACTTTTAAAAGCCTTTTGAGACCTTCTTTTTCAGTACATTGCAATGGATAATTGTCTTTGCATATCATGAAGATTAAAGCTTGGGTTAACATTGCTTCTTTTGACCCTCCAGCTGAAACATTAAGTGTATATCAAATAGAGCTTCACAATTTCCATGCATAGGATTAATTTTTTTATGAAGGTATGATATTTACATTCATAACATCTTTGTGCATTAAAAATCTGGTGAATACTAGGTTGAGAGAGATGCGAGCTGTTACTACCATTATAGTTTATGTTGCTTGTACTGCTTGCAGTAATGGTACTGGCACTCCCGATACTATGAACTTCTATTAAATTCTCTTCAAAACTGTCATCACTGTCCTATGATAGAAAATATATTCAAATAACTATAGAAATTTTCCCATATGATGAAATCTAAGAATTAATTCTTCACCTCATGCTGAGAGTCTAGGGCTTCATTTTCAATCTCCTTCGCTGCATCTCCTCCTTCTGCATTGCTATGAGACGTTGAAGGCGTTGAGTTTGTCAAATCAAAGTCGATCCTTGGTTTCTTGTTCACTCTGGCTTCATCTGCGACATGTTTTTTGAAATTAATAGCATTGACTTTTGGGTGTTTTCGAATAAGGTGATTATTTAGGTTTGTGGTCCCACCACCAGTTTTGTAAATTCTTCCGCATAAATTACACTTACAGTTTTGATTATTACATCGGGTGAAAAACTCCCATACTTGGCTTTTTCTATGTTTTGGCATGTCGTCCTATAATGCAAACACTAGTTTACAGGAATATTTTTGATTTGCTGGAAAATGGATACTTTTGATTGTTTGTAGAGTTTCTCTTATTCTCTTACTTTTATTAATCAGACTACTATCCATGTACGCACTTGGAATTAGGTTAGGAAGTACAAAAGCGTTGCAACGCGCGGGAAAATAATAATCACAGACCACACTAGTCTGTGATAATAATGTCCACAGCACGAGAAAATTGTCACGAGCACCCTTTTTCCAATCCAATCAGCCAATCACCACTGGTCGTTGTTAGTTCTCTTTTTTTAATTATTGCTATCTTACTTGCCCCCCAAACGTATAACTTCCAAGCTTACCAACACTGGGTAGGTACAATAACCACCAACGTACCACGTACGCTTTTTGCCTGCATTATTTTGCTATAAAAAATAAAAAAACCTACAAGTAGGTTCTGACATACGGCATCCGGTTCATCAGGTTATAACTGAATTTTAAAAAACCGGTTATAGTAGGTTCTTTCGCAGCCAAAAAATCGGTTTAGTGGAAAACCGGTATTTTTTACGCATCCCTATTCTGAGGTTTTTTACGCGTCTGGGTCTCGTTTACAGCTGTTTTAGTTTGGATACAATTTCGGATGAAAGTAATTGCAATTGGCGATTTTTATGGCGTATTATTCTGTACAAGTTTGCAATGTCTGGCAAGGGCAATGTTGTTTGCAATTTGCAAATACGCGAATTTTGTTCTTGCATTCGGGGATTGGTGGTCGAGTTTGTTTATCTATTTGAGTCGTAGTATATGCAGATTAGGACATGCGTGTTTATTAATTAAGATTTGCAGATTTTCGAGTTATGTTTGGGGATTTGTTATTCGTCAGTTTAGTTACAATTTTCTCGTGAACGAATTTAGTGACGGCTCGTCACATGACTTATGGGAATTTGCATGTATGTTCTTAGGGCATATCCTGAATCACCTGAAATATTAATTACGTTAATAGTTAATCTAAATCCAATATAGATTTACCAAGCATAAAATATTTGGTGTGTCCATTCGCATGCAGATTTACAAAGAAATCTCGCAACTTGCTATGATTCCATATAAAACTGTCATGGGTGCTACCTGGATACCGAGCACAACAGTTTATAGCTATTAACATACCTAGGAATGTAAATAGTGTCATAACCGCCGCAGGCGTCTGTTGGAAATCCGAGCATTAACGAGGATTTTAAGACGGCTAAGGCGGTTAGGCACCGTTTACATCTGTGGTGTGTTAAAGATTTTACCGGTTTCTGTCTGTTAAATGACTGTTTACATTCGAAAAAATTGGCTGGTAGAAGAGTCATAACTGTATCGTGTATGTAAAATCGGTAGGGTAATAATATAACCTTTGTGTAAATATTCATACCGACATCATGCTGGTAACTGCCTCCTGCATAAAATTTCAAACCTTAGTTGGTACGTCCAGTGCTGAAGTTCTTGAAGGAGGGACTAAAAATGGGGCAACTTTGTTTATAAAAAGTCCAACCACGTGTTGTGGTAAACGAAATAATTTAATAAATTGAAGTTCCGGAAGATTAAAGCGTCGCACCTCCGGAAAACCCTTCTTTCTTGAAGAGCGTCCGCTTCAGCCTCCTCCATAACACCTATTAACTCCAATTCAACCAATTAATCAAATCCTGCCATTTTAGCTGAAATACATTAGCTAAACTTATACTTATCAATGTTAAGTAATTTTCAAATACTTACTATTTTATAAAACACATATATCACTAACAATAAGTGTAAAGCAAAATTAAATACTTTAATACTTCAAGAAAATTGGTTGTTGTCATAGTTACCTACCATACGAATTACATTTCTGCATACGAGGAAGCACACGTTGTCGTTCTGCATGAAACATGCGCATACGTTTTAATTCACACGGTTGAAGAATTGAAATTCATAATCCGTGTACGCAATATGTTTAAATGCGTATGTGTACGATTTCAAGGCCCAAGTACGTGTCTTTTTGACTACACACACAAGACAATGCTTTGCATAGTTCTGTACGAAACGACGAAGACGCAGAAACCAAAAATGCTACATGATACAAGCGATTGTCTTGTCTGTACCTATGTGGCACTGCTCATCATGGAAAAGTCGGAGCAGTACGAGCCTGCTCTGCCGTGGAACAAAAAAACGCATAGTCTTTGATCTGTTTGGAATAATGTTCTGATGAAAGAGCAATCCGTCCTTCTCTACATATTGTTTCGGATCGAGTTTGCCTTCTCGCAAGTCGGAAATCATTTGCTGAACTTCGGCATCGCCCTTCTGTTGAATGTGAAGCCACGGTTCATGCTGAGATACATGCAATACAGATACCGGGTTTCGGCTAAAAAAATCTACGTGGCTAAGAAAGGATGCCTTACGATAGACGATCTCGTAGTTAAAATCTTGAAGGTATGTCCACCAACGAGCGACCCGGGGGAGAATTTTCCTCTTATTCACGGTAGCTTTGATAGCATTGCAATCTGTAACGTTGGTGAATTTAATGCCGATCAGGTAAATCCGAAAGTGTTTTAGAGAATTAATGATCGCTAACGTCTCCAACTCATATGAGTGGTATTTACATTCGGAAGGTGAAGTTCTCTTACTAAAATAAGCCACCACGCGATTCTGTCCGTCATATTTTTGAATTAAAATTCCACCGTACCCGACGGAGCTAGCGTCCGTATGAAGGTCAGTAGGCAGATCGGGGTTAAAAATTGTCAACAGAGGCTCCGATACTAACATATTCTTTGCCGCGTTCGTCTTCGGCAGTCAACTGGAACGGGACAGCGCTGTTGGTCAGATTAGTTATGCATGCAGTGCGACAAGCAAAATTTGGAACGAATTTGCGGAAATAACCTGTGAGGCCCATGAATTGACGTACTTGCTTGACGTCGGTGGGTGAAGCAACGTTTGTTAATGCCTGTACCTTGTTTTTCCTGGGTCTAATGCCTTCAGCAGAAATATGTCGACCGAGGTATTCAAGTTCGGTTTGCAAAACTTGCAGTTAGAGAGATTTAACGAAAATCCTGCGACACGTAAAACATCAAGGGCCGGTCTTTTTACCTCCTGATACAGTTCCTGATAATTTTGATCTACTAGATAATGTCAAATGGGGTCTTTTCACCACCTGACAAATTTATCTTCCAGATAAATAGCTCTTATTCGGCAGATACACTATTCGGAACTTTGAGTTCCGATTAGTCGCCGATTCTTGCTGATATCTGACGGAGACAACCGATGGCGCAGCGAACTTGCTAGCCTGAATCTCCAAAAAGTTAGACAATGTGACCAAGTGGGTGCACATTTGAAGTCTGCGAAATAAATGCATCATGCGTACTCCCTGGATAGGCGGCATTAACATTTAATATTCCAGGAAACCCATATATTTGGTAAAAATTAGCATGAATATTCACTATTTCTTCCATTGTGTGAGGAAATTTTACGAATCTATTAACTACTGCTGGCTGATTTAATGCGTCAGTTACTTGCTTTAGGTAGAACCGGAAATGACGTCAACTTGATTTTTTTTATGGAACACTAGGTATATTTTTTCATAAATGGAGAAATTGATTTTTTGTAAAAATCACAATAAATTTTCAAAAATATCTGCGTTTTGTTGGATGCACATTTCAGCACGTCGACGAATGCCTTATGTGGCATTTGTTGTAAACTGTGAGTTCAATGTTGTGCAAGTTTCTGTGACTCCTTCTTTCGAGAGTTCTCTGTCTCTGTATTCATTAAAGTAAACATTATCTTCTGCGAAACCCCAAAGGAAATCTAGGGGATTCATATCTGGCGATCTTACAGGCCATCTTATTAGGCCCGTGTTCCCCATCCAACGGTCTTGAGATGTTTCTGTTAAGAAATTATCCACGTTCCTCGCGTTGTAAGCTATACAATCAGTCATTAGCTTTGTCAAAATTCAAAATTAACATAATACAAATGCACAAAATATAAAAATTAACAATACAAACATTACATTTGCGAATAATATATTTGAACATATACTTTAACTGACGATAATATTGGAAACCGCATCATAAATTTGCTTGAGCAACATTATTAAAGAATTCATCCATTGAGTAAATGTTGTGGTGAAGCAGAAAAGCTTTAAATTTTTTATTTTTTTTTTAATAAAGCAGGAGAATTAATATTTTTAATGTATTCGTCTCTTATTAGCAGCCACTCTGCAAATTCTTGTCGCCTAAAGAAATCACCTGATTCAAGATGTTGATGCTCTGCGTATTTAAACGGACGCCAACCATTTTTTTTTTTTAAATACGATTTACACTGGATTGGGTAGTTTCAAAAGTTGATCTAATCTTTCGGATAGAAATGTCTTTATTTTCAACAGCAGCTACCAAAACATCATCTTCCGCGATATTCATATTGTCTTTTCTTTCTCCTGTTGGGATATAATTCGTTGAACCTTCAACAAGTGTCATTCAAGCTTTCCTTGTATTTCCCATACAATACAATCACACGAAAATAAATTTCGTTATTAAAATTTTCTACAATTTCTACAATATTATCGTTTTGAGCCATTGAAATAACACTTACAGCCGTTTTCACCAAGTCTGATTAAATTTTAACGGGTACTTAACGACAGCTTTAATCGGCAGTCATTGTACCGATGATTATGTGGTGATGACAGCTTTGACAGTTGACGACAATTGTATTTTGCGAACTGTTGTACAGTGTAAAGCACAGAAAATGATGAATTTCGTAGATTTGCCGGATATGCTAGAAGTTGACGATCTAAATGTACTAGAATTTGTAGTGCATGTAATTCCTCGTCAAATTTATGAGAGGATAAACTATTTTGATATGTTTGACGAAGTAGCATTTCGCCGGAGATTCAGGCTTTCTATAGAGCTAGTGTTTTGTATTTGTTAGAAGAGATGAATTGGAATATCCACACGATATGTAAACACAAGAATTTATGTATTTTTATAAAAATACCCACAGATAGGTGCAGGTAAAGGTTTATCTATAACGGAATACATATCGGAAATTAAGTTCGTATTACAAACGTTGTTACATGATCTCTTAAGGAATATTTGTGTAGCGCCATTGAACCAGTTACTAGCCTAATTGTTGTATATTTGTTTAATAAAACAAGGCCATGTCTAAGGTCGA